GTGTACTGTGCCATCAGCACACCAAAGTCTTCACCACTTGACCTCTTGTGAAATATTTCAGATAGTCTCCTGCCTGAGGCTCTGCACTGCATGTACCTATGTGGAGTACTTAGCATCTTCCAGATGATGCTGTGGCTTCTGCGCTTACCTCCTTCAAATTGTGCTCACTTACCTCCTAAACGCAGTCCATCAAGTCCCTTAGGAAGAGGTAGTACTCCTGACTTTACCATTCCACTCCACACTGCTTTCCAGTGCTCAGTTTTGTCACCACATTTATGCCTTTTACCATGTCACAGGCTTCCTTATTTCAGTAAGTCTGAGATAAGCTTCTGAGAGAAGAGGACTTTCTTTGAATCTGTTTTCGTTCATTGGGAGTAATGTCGAGTATTTAAACTGCGTAGTCGGCAGTTTAAATGTAGTAAGTGCTTGCTAGATGAATTAATTTTTGAGTAAGTTGAGGTTTTGAGTCAATCAGCCCTTTCTAAGGATCAGGATACCGTGGTAACTACGTTTCCTACCTTCATCAATCTCCACATCTCCTTAAAGAGCAGTATTCAGGGCATGGAATTCCAAGAAAATCAGGATGTGAAGAGAAAAAAGAAAAAGAAAAGCAGGATATTGTTACTTGTTCTTTGTATTATTTGGATGAAGGAAGCCAAGAATCTTGAGGAGGTGTGTCCTGGAAAGACATATTCAGCTTCATTCTTATATAGTATCTTCTTTCTCACACACCTGCTCCCTTCTTTCCTGGCTTACAAAATATCAGGGATTCCTGATCCCTTTCCTAGAGGCTGCAAGACTATTAGCATGTAAACCAGATTTAGCCTGCAAATACATTTTATTTGGTTTGCCCCATGTATTGTTTGGTATTTGGTTTGTGACTTTGCTATTTTATATATAAGTATCTATTTAAAATTTTTAATCACTTACTAACATTTATAATTCAGATGTTTTGGATGAAAATCTGGATTCTAGCTTCTTTGGAAACATTGAAAGTTTAGATTGGGCCTATATTCTCACATGGCAGTCAGCCAATGGAATTGAGTAGCTGAGATCCCTTCTTATCTTAGGTCCCTCTTTTCCTTTCCTGCTTTATAAAAAGTCCTCCCCCTTTTTTGTGGCGGTGGTTCTGGGGCTTGAACTTACAGCTGGTTTTTGAGTAGTTCAAGATAAGAGTCACACTCCAGAACTTGTCTGCCCAGGCTGGCTTCCACCTATAATCCTCATATCTCAGTCTCCTTAAGTAGCTAAGATTACAAGCATGAGCCACTAGCACCTGGCCTTTTCTTTAAAAAAAAAAAAAAAAAAGTTTATTGACTTTTGGGAGTTGCCATTCAATAAAGCAGTTTATAAATACATTGTGTCTTGATCAGTGTTACCCCTTTCAACATCCCTCCCAATCTACCCATATAAGTCCCTTCTTGTACCAGAGGGTTTAAGTAAAATTTAAGCCACATTTCTTAAAGATTGAAGTTAATTTTAATTCACAGCTAAGGAACATTGTGTGGAGTTTTTTTTTTTGTTTCTTTGTTTTTGTTTTTTGCTAAATGGCTATTGATATTGGCTTACAAAAAGAGAAAAAAGGCAAGAATTTGAAGAAAGCCTTGAAATTATTTGGGGGCTTTTACAAAACATCTGTTCATTTGCTCATTTCTTTGTTATGAGGCCTATAACCGTTGTCAGTTCATATAATAATCTTGAGTAGTAAAATAGTTCATGATGTTTCCACAGGAGTTTAGACACTTGTCTGTCACAAATTAGCTCCAATCATAGTATTGGAGTGCTAGATGGGAGAATGTAACAGAGACAAGATAGAAGAAACCATGATAAATATAACTACCCAATAAAATGTCTACCTACTTTAGGCTCAGGGTTTTGACATAAAATAACCCCAGAATTTCATAGTGTTAAGTAAGATCTTGAAACTTAAGAAGCTAAGTCTCAGACTATACTGTGTGATGTAAAGGTGCCACCAGGTATTTGGTAATGGTGCCAGGTAATGGATTTGATGGACCCTTACATTGTTGTCGTTATGGTGAATTCTTTTTCTCCCTCTTCGGGAGGAAAACTACGTAAAAGTCTGGTTTGAAAGAGGGATCAGGAAGACAGACAGGGCTGACTGCATTTTTTCCCATAAGTGGCACAATTCAGTATCTTGTATTTTATATGGATCTGTTTACTTTCTTCTATGCATTGAGGGAGAAATGTATTTTTAAATGAATTCTGGATTCCTGAAGTGACTTTGTAGGGTTAAAGTATTTTATTTTGTGGGTGAAGGATGAGTTCTTACTCTATAAGAAGCAGTGGCTGCAGATTTCATGTCCAGAGAGGCATTTTGTTACTTAATAGCTCATTCCAGAGCAAGCCATTAAGCCATTTACCAGCCAAAGGATTTGAGGTCAGCTTATAGAAAAGGAACATCATTTCCACTAAACTCCTTTAAGATAAGCAAGTAAAGAATAAGAACGTCCTAACCCAGGAATTTATATCTGACCTTGGTGCTATGTACAGTCCATAATAGCACCAGTGTAGCCTCCTGACACATGATTTCCACGAGGCACATGGCAGTTTGTGCTAATGTCATTGTATTCTGAAAAAACCTACAGATCTGATTTTTTCCTAATCACATATCCCCCACTGAATTTGAGAAGTTTTCTCTTCAGTAGGAAAGAAACATGGTGGTTATATATCTGCCTTCACTTAAACTTTCTTGGAAGGCCTATCTGTTAGGGAAGGGATATAGATCTATAAAAAGCACGTTTGTTTAATTTATTTCTAATTCTTCAGGTAGCAAAAGAGAAACCAGTAAAAACAGATGTCCGATCAGCTGGGTGGATGGGTGGTAGAACTTCATTTCATTATGACATCTAAATATACATCCATAGTTCTCAGAAGTCTTGTCTGAGTCCTCTTGTTCTTGACTTTGAGGAAATGCGGAGACCCATTCAGCATTCCTGCGATGCCCTCTAACTTGAGGTACCTTAATCTTCATGAGAAGGACAGAAATAGCAATATCTGAAGTAGGTACTCCTAGGTCAGTGATTTTTAACCTCACTGTGTATTGGAAACACTTGGAAACCTTTAATAGGCAGGCAGATTTAGTTGAATGGAGATAAGGTCCAACCTTTTTATGTTTGTTTCCCAAGTGATTCTAATTTATATCTAAGGCTAAGAATCAGTGACTATTCTGTGGGAGGGTTTTCAGAACTTCACAGTTCCTGAAAATGCCTTAATAGTCAGATAAGGGACACACTAAATGAGTTCTTGAAATCTTTTCTTCTCTTCAACTGGACCTATCTTTATTTTTGCCAGAGCAATTCCACTTGCCTATTTTATATATTGGTTTTCTAAAGGAAACAAGTTTAAAAAATAATACAGCGCTAAATTATGAAAGAATACAACACAGATTTTAAATCTGGTTTTAAGGATGGTGAGCACTGAGCCTTCCATAAGAATTTGAATATCATGTAGCCTTTAAATAATGTAGAAAAAGGAAAGGAAATCTAAAGCAATTAGGTAACAGTACCCTGTGGGGTAGCTTTTACTCCAATTAAGCAAAGGTCAACAAAGAAAGGAACATGCAAGCCAAAGTCTCAGATGGTTGCACACTGGCCACCAGAAGATCCTCTTGATCCCAATTGTCTTTGTTTTGGCCCCACATGATATCTTTTCACATGCAGACTGGCACTATTCTCCAGTTTACCCCATGCTCCAACATCTCACATTAGTTATACTTTGACCCACTGGTTCCTCTGCTAATCTTGAAGGCCTGAACTTTTAAAATGTACGTGTTTCTATACCTTAAACACATGGTTAACAGTTTGCTACTTGCAAGGATATTTTAATTTTGATAATTAAAAACAAACTATCCGAACTTGGTAGCTGGTAGAAAATTCTATAACCTGTTACTGGCTCAAAAAAAAAAGTTTAAATTATACTTAGCAGCCATTAAAGTTATCTACCCTTAGGAGAAAGAAAAAGAGGCCATGGCTGGATGCTGATGGCATGTAATCCTAGCTTCTCAGGAGGCTAAGATCTGAGGATCACAGTCCAATGCCAGCTGGGGAAGGAAAGTCCGTGAGACTTACCTTCAACAAACCACCAGAAAACCGGAAGTGGCACTGCAGCTCAAAGTGGTAGAGCACTAGCCTTGAGCAAAAGAGCTCAGGGACAGCGCCTAGGCCCTGAGTTCAAGCCCACAATTGACTAAAAAAAGAATAGAAGTAAAATATATATATATATATATATATATATATATATATATATATATGGCTATAATTTAAAGAAGTAACTTGGTATTAGAACTTCCTACAAAATTTGTAAAAGGTATTCATTATAAGTACGCTATTAAATCCATTTCTAGAAAGCTCAGATGGTTTATTTGTCTCTTAGTGGGCTAGATTTAGATTCCTTTTTTATTAAATCCAGAACAGATCAAATCTAACTAAAATTGTTCTTCTGCTTTATCTTTTTATTATTTAAACACTTATCTGTGGTCTCACTAATGGACTAATTTCCTGAGATGATAAATTGGCATGCTTTCATTTCCAGATTGCAGCCTTTCTGTCATCATTTTTCCAGTTTTTTTTTTACATACTCGTTTTATGCTGTATCACAAAGTAGATTTCCCATCTTACCTTCTTTGAAGTCATTTGTCCCCTTATAGTTAATGAATAAGTTGTGCATCCAAGGACATTTATCAAACGGCACCAATCAAATTTGATATTTTTTAAAAGCAATCAATCATGCCTTTTAAAAAAAGTTGGCAAGTCAGTTTTTAATTTTTTAAACACTAACTATAGCCCACTTCCCAAAGTAAACTTAAAAGTCAAATTTTAAAAAGAATTCTTACATAGTTATATATCATAAAATTACTATTTAAATTATTGCCATTTTTGGCTATTATACTCTTTCTTATTGTAACTTAAAATTTGGACCAAAAAAGTATAGAAAGAGCATAATTTTAAAACATACAGCATAACTTTTTTTTCTTTTTGTAGCATTAATCTTATCACTGGTCATTTAGAGGAACCAATGCCAAACCCTATAGATGAAATGACAGAAGAACAAAAAGAATATGAAGCCATGAAACTTGTCAACATGCTTGATAAACTTTCCAGGTATTGTATTCCCATCCATTTTTTGCTTGGTTTCTAAAAATGTTCTATTTCCTTGTCTCTCCCACCGAGAGTTACCATAGAACAGCAGCTCTGGAAATCCATGTTGATTGGAGCAGGGTGGCTCAGGCAGTAGTAGCTCAGATAGCTCTTGGCTACCATGTTTTCTCTACATGTGCCGCTTCCGGATGTGCATTCTTAAAGGTTTAAACACTCAAAGCTCCAATAGTAACTACTAGATCACTGTAATATTTAACCAACTAACCTCCCTGTCTTGTTGAAGATGCTGAGTTAGGGTCAATGATTTTGCTGCTTCTTGTATTTTTGTTCTAGTCTGTTTGGGGTTTTGTTCCGAATCATGGTGCGCTTCCCTCCCTCTTTCATTTTTGATGTGCGAGTTTGCAGTTCTGCTTTTTGGGTTGCTGCTGAACCAAGACTTCTAAGTTTTCGTGCACTTAACAGGAAAAAGTAAAAAGAAATAGCTCAATCAAAGCATTAATTTTAAAAAAGCAGGCACTCATATAATTAGGGGTTCTAAAACCAACATGCCCTTGCCCTCTTGCTTCACACCTTTTTGCCTGCCAAAAATAGCCAGTTTGGAAAAATAAATAAAGTATATACTAATCAATCAAGTAGTGACGTTGAAGGAGTTACTAGGGAAAAAATCCTTTCATACTTCATTGAATTGCTCTATTTTCTAGTTGTACATTGAATCACTGTCTCCTTTAAGCCATCTTGAATGAGTGCTTTCTGTGTGTTAGGGGCAGCTACCACTTAAAGGTGAATTTCTTCTGGTTATCTCCTTTTCACAGTAACTATAAAGGCTAAATCCCTCAGTCAAGAAAAGTAGCGATTAGAATAGGAAAGCCAAAGAGCCTGCCCAAGAAGGAGTGTAATTTTTAAAAATAGATACAGGTTAATCGTAAAGTACATGAGAATAAAACTCAGGTTAAGCTCTCAGCAGGAGTGTTAATGGAGAAATAGACAAGAACCAGGGCTAAGCTTTTGCAGATGATGGTAGTAATTCATGGTACAAGTTGTGTGGACATAAGCAGCATCATGGTCTATGTCCTATGTTAGAACTCCGTGACTGTCAGCCCTTTAATATTCCCATCCTTTGCTGAGTATAGACTACATAGTGAACTGTGCTCATAGTCTTCAAAAGACATGTTTGCCTGTTTGTAAATTATATTACATTACACTGCTTAAAACATTATTGGTCTTTCCCTGAAGGAATTAACAGCCATGGAGAAGATACTGAAAGGGCAGACCAGGAAGAATAATAAGTTCTAAATAAATACATAAAAATAAGATCTGGTAGTTGGAGGTGCTGCTCAGTGGTAGGGCACATTTTTAGTGTGTATAAAGCCCTAAGTTTAATCCCCAACACCACCACCATCCCCCCAAAAAATACATAAAATGAACAAGGTTCTGAAGACCTTCTTTCAGAAATTTCTGGTATAGCTACTAAAACACAGTGGTACTAAGTACAAGTCAGGATGAGAACCAAGAGTTCATTTGAAGGGAAACTGGTGAAGGAATTGTTAGCAAGAACTTGAGTGACCATATTAGTGGTTTAGGACTGTAAACTGGTTAAGTTGATAAGTTTCATATTTTGATCAATAGTATGAGTTGCCAAAGGTTAACACAGATGCTATTCAGCTGACCTAATTGTCATGGATGAGTAAACTCCAAGCTAGGAAAGTGGAAGATGGGAAACAGATTGCCTAAGATAATGCAATAAAATCTGGATTCTTGGCTTACTGATAAGAGGCACCACCAATTTCATTAAGCGTCCCATTCATTACAGGCACAGAAAACGGAAGTACTGTGTCCTCCCTTTAATCTCAGAGGAATCTATGTATTCTAGACACTGTCAGTAAATAAGTATACCAACATCAAGTCTGAAATACACAACTTCTAAAGGTATACACGTATCCCCCCAAAAACCTCCCAGCAGATCATCAACTCAATCTGAGAGTGATACTGATTTTTTGCCAGTATAGAGGAAATGTTGATGGTACTACTTTTACCCTTAAAGTTGAAGGAAAAGGTAACCTTGAGAATAGTCCTAAATTTCATAGACTTTTCGCATGATCTGTGGTAGATTTTTACATTGTCTGCCTTTGTGTGTGTTCTCACTAATAACAATCAATGAACATATTGTATGATCATCAGCAGTGAGCATTCCAAAGCAGGAATGCAAAGAATGGAGCCATTCTTTATGCATCTTACATGTTTGTTGTGTTCTTTTCCTCATTAGTCTTAACTTTCATCTCTCTCTTCTTTTTTTCTGCTTTTTCGGGGGGTTTTGAGGTTAAAAAACAAGTTGCCATAAAGCCAAAGTAGACTAAATTCAGCACAGTTCAGGGAATACTTATGAAGTAGCTACTTTGTTAGGAACTTTGCTAGGAACCAGGGGAGATTCAGAAGTGAACATGACAGTCTCTGCCTTCGGAAAATTCATGTTCTAGTTGGGAAAAACAAAAATGGCTGTAATCTATTCTAGAACACAAAGAAAGGCCATGATGATAAAATGAAGTCTATGGTGATCTCTGTGTACCCAGGAAAAGGAGCCGCTAATGCTGTCTAGATGATTCAGGTTCAGAGAAGGTAGTAGCAGTTTCTGCTGACCCTTGACGTTTACAAGATATTCAATAGAAAAATGGAAAAATTATGGTCCTTTACAGTAGAGGGAAATTTAATCTTGTCAACTAATTTTTGATATTCACATACTGTATCTTTCTTCCAAAAACAAAAAAACTCAGTTTGAGAATAATGATACATTACCTGATTTGTCAGTGGAAAAAGCAAGGACAAAAAAATTTCCTAAAGCATTACACACTAATGTCTAAGGATAATCCATTTCCATCTGAGAGTTTATAAAGTGAGACTAGGATCTTCATTTTCCAGAACTCAAGGCCTTTGCTCTGTCTACTGTGTTACTGTGTCTGTCTGTTAATAGTGTTTGCCAGAACACTACCTAATCGTCCTCTCAGCATTGTACTGTTTACTAGTTCCCTCAGCTGTCACTCTAGTAAGTTCTGCACTCAACTAAGTCTTTATTGTGCTAAGAATATACTGTAGTTTTGTCTGGTTAGCTTCCTTTCTCAAAAATGAAAGCAGTTTGTCCCACACCTGAACTGAAAGGCAGGCAAGTAAAGGATAGGGTTGGAGGTGATGTGACCAACAAATGGACACTAGACCCTTCCTCTTTTCCATCCGTAGGAGGGCAGATGTGAAGGACCCGCACCAGTGGCCCGTGCCAAAGCACTTACCAAAGTGACAACTAAGGTTGGTCATGCCAAGTACTGTTACTGAGCCTGGTGCTAATCACTACCAAAGTTTGCCTTCCTGCTGAACATAGCTATTGTCCCAAGTTGTAAAGACTGTGAAAGATAGTTTTCAGATACTTTCTTCTCACTGAAAATAGACTTAATAATATTCTAAACAATGTAGTATTTTTCAGTATAAAAATTATATTTGTGACAGGTGTTTATGCCCCTTATATTGGAATTGATAATGCACTTGGAGGTCTGTAGCGCTGGAGAGCCATTGGAACCCTGTACATCTCATCGTGTCTCTCTAGCACAGCTTCATACCCTGTGGTTCTCCTAGATGAAATAATGTGGGAGGATGAAGTAATGAAAACAGCTGACCTCCAGATTCAAAGGTCAGAGGCTTTTTGCTCCATAAAAGAGCCTGTGTGGTTTAAAACTTTGAAGTATACTTTATAAGTTCAATTTCTTGGACAGACTTCATAAAGTTCAAGGATAAAAAGGAATTCTATAAGGTACTTTGGGCCATAGCTGGATAATTTAAATATTTGAGTATATGATTTCTTAAATAATAACTATAATACTTATCAAACCAAGCATTAAGGCCTGGGGTATAGGATCACAAAAAACTTCATATGACATTTATAATGTAAGAGTAGAACTAGAAAAGGGATGACATTTTCCTGTCCTCTACCTTGGTCTCTTTCTTATTCTAACTTGGGGGAAAAAGAGGAGCCTCTATTCTGGGTGCAGTGGTTCCATACTTGCTATCCCTGCTACTTGGGAGATGGGAATATGGGGAAGATCATGGTTCAAAGCCAGCCCAAGCAAAAAGTAAGAAAGATCTTATCTCAGTCTATAAGCCAGGTGTAGTGATACATGCCCATTATACCAACTATGCAAGAGGCTGTAAGTAGGAGGATCCTAGTCTGAGGCCAGCCCTGGGCAAAAACATGAGACCTTCCTTGAAAAATAACTAAAGCAGAAAGCAAAGGAAGGAGTGACATTGTCCAAAAAGAAATGTACTCTTTACCTGACATATGAAGCAGCAAACCCTCTGTATAATACCTTAATAATAACAATAAAATTCTATTTTTAAAAATAAAGCAAAAAAAGGCTGGAGGGATGGCTCAAGTGGTGGAATGCCTTGCATAGATAGCAATCACAAAGCCCTGAGTTCACATCCTTCACCACAAAGAGAAGAAAAGGCCCCTAAAGTCAAGCAAGAGATACGAATAACCAGATGTAATCCCAACTACATGGGAGGCAGAGGTAGAGGATCACAATCACAGGCCATCCCTGAACAAAGGAGAGACCCTATCTGAAAAATGGCTAAATGCTAAGAGCATAACTCATGGAGTAGAGAGCTTACTTAGTAAACCTGAGGCCCTGAGTTCAAACTCCAGTACAGCCAAAAGAGATACAGAAAGATATATTAGAATTGGGATTTTATGCTGTTGAGAAATGGCAGCGTGCTTATTATAGCTGCATTTGCCTGAGCTACACAACTCCCAGCTAGGATGGCCTCCTCCAGAACAGGGGAGAATGCCCTGGTGACTACAGCTTAAACTAACCAAGTGAAGTCATATTGCAAGCCTGGTTTTGTTTTGACTTCCTTAGAAATCAGAATTGATTGGTCTTCTCTACCCCACCCTTATTCCATCACTGTTTCAGCAAGGCACATTTCTGCCATCAAAAATCTACGTATGAATGTAAATAATAATT